TATATTAGCGTTGTGGGGAAGATTTTAGAGTCATTGAGAGTTTCTTGGAATGATTCTAGATTATTATGGAACATCTAGGAAGAATTCTTGAAAAGCCTTAAAACATTGTAGGCATACAATAATTCAAGAGAAGGGAGCTGCCTGTAAATATAAAAGGACTTATGTAATGATTATTATCTACATATTAGCCTCTAAGTGAGTAGTATAAGTAGAGAAACATTACATTCATTTGTAAATCATCAAACAAAAATCAATCAAGTTATCTTCAATATAATACTTCCTTGTAATTCTCTTGTGTTCTCTCTACCATTCTCTTGGTGATTCCTAGTGTTTAAGGTTGATTTGACATAACAAAATCTTGAACAAATGATATAAAAATATAAGTGAGTTGTCAAGTGTCGTATGCTTATTTGAAAACAAAGAACATGACAATAGAGTTCATATATAATTGTTAACTCAATTCTAACCAGATATATAAAAAAAACATAATGGTTCAATTTGTTTACAACAACTTCATAATCTTTTACAAGCTCATTTGTAGTTTCAACTCCTCTACGTCATATTGCTTTAACAGATAAGTTATAACAGCAAAGACCTCAAGAGAAAATGTAAATTAACATGAGCAAATAAAAACACGAGATACAAATCAGGAGCTCATTTGAGTTAATGAGTTCTATACTTTTGTGTGTGGAACTTAGGAAATCTATAGTGCTACCATTTGTGTGTTTGTTTTAATGTAATAGCTCGCAAATTATATAGAAAATGTAAATTGAACTAGACAAGTTAAGTATGACGAGTTCGATTGAAAAGACGTTGACAGAGAAAATCAATTCTTGACCTTTCTGATAATACCACCTATTACTCCAACTCATTTTTCCTTATAAAGTGATGTGTTCTAAACTTGCTACTAGTAATTATAATGTTTATTAGTCAGAAAGGATTAATGGTCCCCTAAACTAGCACCAATTTTAAAAATCAGCCATATCAAACTTACGATATCCTTACTTTACTTGATAAAAATACAACTAATAAACATCTTTGATTAAGTTTCCTAAACCATAAACAGGAAAATGGCCAGCTAGTTAATGGAAATCATCCAATGCCTAATCTTATTTGCATTTTTCATAGAATCTAAACAAAAAGAAATTACTACAAGATGTTAGAAAAATAATAGAGAAACTTGTGCATTATGTTTAATTCTAGGTATACTTTTTACGTCACAAATATAAAACTAGTGGTCCATGAATGAGTACTTACTTCTTACAAATTTTCAAGAGAATAATGATTTTATTTGTCTTTCAGCTGTCTTCCAATTTATTAAACATATTAATTTTATAGTGTTCCATGAGACTTTTCAAGAAATACCGACACCAAATCAAATAGTTAACAAATGCAATTTCAAATTTAATACCGAAAGTGATATCCTAATTTTGGTTACCAAACCGCTGGATGTATTTAATTTGTTTTCGTAAGCTAGCTTTGTCTTTTGGGAAACAAATATATTTGAAAGTTTTGTATTAGAGTTTAGATTCCAATTGCAATTTGCAAATAGAAAACTAAAACTATACCATATTGCATACTATATATTATATGTAGAAATTACCATAATTGAGATTGATGTGTTGTCGTATCTTATATTATAAAAATAAAAAATAATAGGAACAAGAAAAAAAAAAGTACAAGTATCGGGGTGGCATTTGTTGGATTTTTTTTTTAAAAAAAAACAGCTGAGGTTTTAACTCAGTATTTTCATTTTTTTTAGAAAAAAGATAATCAAATAAACGCAACCATAATAATTCTTCAGTTTTCTGAAGGGAAAATACTACTTTTAGATGTTGATTAAAATTTTTTATAAACGACGAAATTAAAAAAAATACAAGTTTCATAAATGATATTCAATATTGATTGTGTTTTCTCCATCCTCCAATGCATCTTATTTTCATCTGCACCACGTTATCCAATAATAGATTGGAGATTATTCAACTATTTTCTCAATAATATTTTTAACTTGCATATTAAACAAAAGAAAATAACTAAAAAATTTAACCTACTTCTTTTTCTCGTTTTTTTTCCCCTCGTAACAAACGTTAAATACGTCGATTGAAAAGATTATTTGAACTTACCAAGGCAATACGATCATATCTAAAAATAATCTCTAAAATTATGTGTAGTTAACAGACACAGAGGCGGAACTAAGTGGGGTTTATGGGTTCGGGTGAATCGAACATCTTTTTCATAGACCCTATATTTGTACTAGAAAATTAATTAAAAATATATATATGTATATTAATTTGTGAACCCCTAATAAAATTGATTGACGGTTCTAAAAGAAATTTAGAACCCCCAAACTCTTAATTCTGATTTCGCCTCTAAATTAACCGTTCATAGTAGATATTCTTTCTGTCTATTGTTACTTGTCAAATTTTGATTTTTACTTATCTCTTTTTATTTGTCATTTTTGACAAATTAAGAGAAGATAATATTTTTTTCCTATTATACCCTCAATTTATTTTGAGACTTTAATGTTTTTGAAAAAAGTAAAACATTTTTAGTGAGTAAATTGATTTTGAAATACTATCAATTAATAAGGGTAAAATAATAAATTCACTATATTAATTATTTTTTTAAATATATGTGCCAAGGAAAAAATGGACAAATAAATAGAAACAAAGCGAGTAATCATTAGAGCCAACAGATTTGTGAGGAATCCCATGCATGTGAAACTCGTAAAGAGAGACATAGTTAAAAAGAAATCAAGTAAATTAGAAGACTAAAGTCCAAATAGCCGACTTATAATTTAAGGAAATTTTTTAATAAGTAATGTAGTACTAATAATATTCTTTTCATTACTGAAAAAAGGGAACAATTGTTAGTTGTAAATGAGTAGTGATTTTTTAAAATTTAATTTTTAATTCACTAATAACTGTTTGTTTGGTCAAATCTTTAAAATAAAAAAAAGATATATATTTTTTTTCCTGAAAAATACCTGTAAAAAAAGGCACAATGACAAATGACCTAACAAGTTTGGAATCGTGTTTGAATGGTTGATATTTCTCTACTCTTAATTAGAGTTTTCGTATGTAAATTCTCAAAATAAAAAAATTATATATTAAAAGCATCATTCTCAAAAATAGTTTATACAATACATAAATATAAATTTAATTAAATTCTAAATATAGTCGAATACCAATAAAAAATACTATAAATTAGTGTTTGAAATTATGGATATGAACAAGGCATCCATAAAAGTTAATCTCAATAGAAGTGATGAAATTATGCATCACCCACTAATCATTAACCTTAAACTAAAAAAATGTGATGGTGATGATAAAGGAACCAATTATGGGAGCTAGTTTAATTATTATTTTTTCTTTTTGGAAAAGCATTAACCTAATTTGCATGGAAAGTGAAAGTTGTTCAATTTTTTTTTTTTTATTTTTAGTGTTTTTTTTTTTTTTATCTATAATATTAAAAATAATATTTATTTTTATTATATAATTCAAGAATAATTTATTACTACTATTTATATCTATTTTACTTTTTATTGCTAAGTATTACATTTATTTTCAGTTCATTTCCCAATATAAAATAATTAATTAGGAATGCTATGATAAAATTATCATTTTTACAAATATGGACAAGTAAACATGGATCAAGGGAGTATTTAGCTTTGCTTTTAAATATAATAATAATAATAATAATAATATATATATATAATTGAGTATTGCAATTGACTTTAGATTTTGAACTGCGTTACTTTTTTTTTTTTTTTTGTAGATATAGATTTGAAATACTAGAATATATCATACATCTTTTTCTTTCAATTTGTCTGCATTATTTACTAGCATTTTCATATTAAAAGATTATCTCATATTTAAATTTCACTTTTAGCGTGAAAATGAATTGTTCTATGCTCCATTACGTGCAAAAATACATTGTTTTGTACATGGATTTTTTGAGGTTTTATTAATATTATTTACTGATGTGTCAAAAAAAAAACCTTAAAATTTTGCGTACATAGTAAAATGAATCCGTTCGGTTTAGGAAGAAGGGGCAGTATAATTTTATAAAATATTTGAGTTTGTCTGTTTAGAGTGTTTATTGAAAACATCATCTCTATAATAATACTGTTAAATGTGTGTACGTCTTATCCTTCCTAAATTTCATTTATGAAACCTCACCAAGTACATAATACATTATTATTGTTTGTGTTTGGAATGAAAGTTGAAAATTGATTTGTTATTTAAACCAAGCAAGTTAGATTTAAAATTAAGAAATGTGCCCAAAGATATATTTATAGCAACAAATCCAGCAGAGTACACGACATTTAAACCAACAACCCTTCTGATAATATAATATAATACTAGTACTATATTAACAGTTCTCCAACCTAACTTTTTTATTTCAAGCATGAAGTTTGTGGCTGTTAATTACACACAGCTAATGATCAACATCAGAAGAACCTTCGGGATCATGGTGGGGGTGGAGTAGCAAGTACCCTTTCATTTTTAATTACAAGTTCGAATTTGAATCCCTTTAACATTGAAATCATTTTTATTAAAAAACATTCTACTTATAAAATATTATAAATTATAATAATTGATCATTCTAGGAGTAACTTTTAAATAGCTAAAAAGATATACACATAAATTGGGATAGAACTTTTATATAATTAAAGGATAATCCATAAAAATACATTTAAATTGGAATTACAAACACATTTAGACATTTCAACCTGATTTTACGCGTTTTATGAATATACAAATAAAAGTATTTACTTATCATCTGATGTCGTATTTAAATATCTATTATATTTGATGTAAAGTCGATATCATATTTTCTATTATGTTCGATATGTTGACCGATTTCATATAAATTGAAACAAAGCAAAAGGTTATAATAAAAACAAACCTTATAATTAAAACTGTCACATGGGGTAAACTATCTTTTGAGGACTGTGAAGTAAAAAATATTGATAAGAAGCCATCTTTCTTCTACAAGAACCGAACCCAACGGAAAGGTCACCATTAATGGCGGAAACCTCATGAAGCCCGCGACAGACTACTTATCTTCTTCTCATTCAATGCATGTAGCATTAAATTCCTTCTTCTGTCGGGTACTTTTATAGCAACCCAACTTCTCCATTTTTCTACATTATATATATACTACTCTACTCTGCTCCATTTCTTTGCTTCTTTTAATTCCACCTCTTAAGCCGCACAAGACCCATTTATTAGTGCTTCATTATAGAGTTCTCTGTTCTTTTTGTTTCTTTCTCTTGACCCCCAGAGTGGGTTTTTTTTCTATTTGTTTTCTCTTCTTCCAAAATATCTCTGCCAGGAAAAAGCAAAACATTCCTTCAATGTGCAGTTTAGTTAGTTTGTTTGTTTTTTCTTGATGGGTCTTTGTCAAGATTTGCGTTTGGTTCAGAATTAGTTTAATTTTCACCCAAAAATATTCTATCCATTTGGAGTTTTCCGCAGATTTAGACAAACAAAATGCTTGACGTCTGCAAGAATTGAAGCTCAAATTGTTCCCTTCAGCTTATTCATAAAATTCTGTTGAGTATTAAGAGGACTGTGTTAAATGGGGTGCCTAAAGATATTTGTCATAGTTGTATTCATGTGGGCTTTATTGATCCCAAATACTCATCAATTAGGGTCCTATGAAACTCAAATTCTTCTTCAGTTACGGAGGCACTTGGAATATCCAGTGCAGTTGGATGTTTTGGAGAATTACAATGGGGATTTTTGCAGTTTGGGTTCAACACTGAATATGAGCATTATTTGCGAGAATAACTCTGTTACTGAGCTCAAAATCAAGGGAGATAAGCTAGTAAAGGTCAATGAATTCCATGGAGTTGCAGTTCCAAACAATACCTTATCTGAGCGTTTCTCCATTGATTCATTTGTTACCACTTTGACAAGGTTAAGTAGTTTAAAAGTTCTCACTTTGGTTTCTTTGGGCATTTGGGGACCTCTCCCTGTTAAAATTCATCGGTTGTCTTCTCTAGAAGTTCTGGATATGAGTTCAAATTTTCTTTTTGGTAAGGTTCCATCTGAGATGTCTACAATGGTGAAGCTTCATACTTTGACATTTGATGGCAATTTTTTCAATGAGAGTCTCCTTGAGTGGTTAGATTTGTTACCTAATATCACTATTTTAAGTATGAAGAATAATAGGTTGAAGGGTAAATTTCCTCATTCAATTTCTAAAATCACAGGCCTAACTGATATTATTCTGTCACATAATGCTCTTTCTGGTGAATTACCTGATTTAAGTGCTTTGTCCAATTTGCATTTGTTGGATTTAAGAGAAAATCATTTGGATTCTGAACTGCCACTGTTGCCACAAGGATTGACCACTATTCTTCTTAGTAGTAATGCTTTCTCTGGTGAGGTCCCAGAAGAATTTGGCAAACTAAATCTACTTCAACACCTTGATCTGTCAAATAATGCTCTTACCGGAACGCCGCCTGCTGATTTGTTCTCTTTGCCAAGTATTAGTTACTTGAATTTAGCGTTTAACGTTCTGAGTGGTTCACTTCCTGAACATCTCAACTGTGGGAGTGAGCTTGGTTTTGTTGATATTTCTGATAATAGACTGCTTGGTATGCTTCCTTCTTGCTTGAACGCCAGTTCGGATAAGCGAATTGTAAAGGTTAGTGGAAACTGCTTGTTGGATATACAATATCAGCACTCTGAGTCCTACTGCAAACAAGCTAGTTTGGCAAAGAAACAAACCACTGGAAAAGAGATAGCAATATTGGTAGGTGTTGTTGGGGGAACTGTAATACTTGTGGTGTTTTTGGCTGTTGTTCTTCTCATCTTTTGTAGAAGACAACATGCACGTCACGATGTGGATCGGTACATGTTTCCCAAAGTTGTGCAAGATAATGCACAGCCCAATATTTCTGCTGAGCTCCTGGCAAATGCTAGTAAGTTGTAGTTTTTCATTTTCAGTGTCAACTCTAAATTCTTTCTGGGATTTGATAAGAGTTTCTTAACTTATTTTACCTCAGGAATCATTTCTCAAACAGCAGCACTAGGATCACAAGGTGCCCCATCATATCGGGTGTTCTCCATGGAAGAGTTGGAAGAAGCGACAGAAATTTTTGATAAATCAGCATTACTCGGTGAAGGCTCCATTGGAAAAGTACTGCTCTGAAACTATTTATGACTCCCAAATAATTGTAGGAATAGGGCTTAGCGTATTGTTTCCTTGCATATATCCATTCAAAATTCATTTTATATTTTGTCGGAAGAATAAATTTTTGTTGCTTATTTAATTTTTGTCCATATGATGCCATATTATTCCAGAGGTCATCATCTCTGTTATCAATTGAAGCAAATCAAATTAGTTTGGTAGGTAGGTTTCATCGAATAACTTGTATCAGACAATTAAACAGATGCACAAGTCGTCAACATAAGCAGTTGATTAAACAGTTTTTTGCCTTTATGATTGATTGTCTGTGTTCATGAATGCTATATGCATCTCGACTTTGCAATTTAATACCATATTATGGTGGTCACAGTTAAAAGTAATGTTCGTTTTGATTTGGTATCTACTGAACTTTGACAATTAATATCAATAAAGTCAGTGCGCTTGATTCACTTATTTAAAGTGCATATGCAGTGAGTTGCTATCTCTTCAAGCCTTCTGTCCCAGGATTTTTTCTTTCTTGGGATCAAGTTGGACAATTTTTATTTAGCTAACACCCTTCTATGTCATTCTCTCTATCTCAGATTTACAAGGGAAAATTAGAGAATGGAACCTATGTTGCTGTAAGAGAATTGACCGTTCATAGACGATGCACTAGTTGGAATTTCAAACTTCGAATGGATTTGCTGTCAAAGTTTCGCCATCCCCATTTAGTTAGCCTTCTGGGTCACTGCATTGATGATGGGGTGCAAGATGACTCAACAGTCCACAGACTTTTTCTGGTTTATGAATTTATTCCTTGTGGAAACTTCCGTGCTCGTCTTTCAGGTCAGTGGTGTAAATATTTTAGTACCAACAGTTGCATAGACATATACTTGATTGAATATGCAAATGCTGCAGGTATATTTCTGGTTATGCTGATTGCTAATTTTCAGATAACTATTTAGTATGATAGTTTTGGTGAATCTGTCTTTTTTTTTTCTTTCTTTTTTTGAATATTGTGCGGGGGAAGGGGGTTAAGGATGAGAAACACATGAATTTGTTGCGTCTTTTGTTGTTTATGCGCTAGTAAGTACAAATACAGAGTATTGTTATCTTCTGGATAGTTTCTTTCCGTCTATTTGTCCAAGCTTGCGATCTGAAATTTTACAACAAAGTGAAAGACAATTATTGTAGTTTGATGAAGCAATCTGTGTTAGCGTTTCATTGATTTGTCGAGATATACTTGATCGTATGTTCTTTGCATGGTCTGTTGGCTGACACTTGCACTGCAAAATGTTTTGACCATCTTTTTCTTTGTGTTGTTCATTTTATTTATCCCGATATATCCAATGAACCATAGGGAATACATGTTGACCTTGTGTAAATCATCATTTTCACTTGCAGAAACTACTCCAGGAAAAGTCCTCAACTGGTCAGACAGGTTGGCGGTTCTGATTGGTGTTGCCAAGGCTGTGCACTTTCTCCACACGGGTGTAATCCCTCCTTCATTCGGCAATAGCTTGAAGACAGATAGTATATTGCTTGATGAGCATCAGATTGCAAAACTTAGTGATTATGGAATGTCAATCCTTACAGAAGAAAGTGAAAAAGTTGAGGTATGTTGAAATGATATTCATATGATGAAGGGTAGGGGTAAGGTCTGCGTACACCCCACCCTCCCCCGACTGTTATTACACTGGGTTGTTGATGTTTTAGGGTAATATCTGATACTGATGATATCCTTTTTCAGGCAAAAGGAGATGGCCACAACGCCTGGTATGTAACTCTTTTGCCCAAATAGAGTCACACATCAGTCTGTTTGCAACTTCTATTCCTAGAAAAACTGATAGATTTTTTCTTAGTGCCTCTTCTGACTATAGCATCCCTTAGAGATAGATAAAAATGCTTGGCAATGACAGTTCAAGAATGTTGAGCAGAGACATATTCTCAACATTAAAATTTTGTGCATTTCTTCTCATGCAGGAACACGAGGAAGAAAGAGGATGATGTGTATAACTTTGGTTTCATATTGCTGGAGTCGCTGGTGGGTCCTTTTTTTAGTGGAAAAGGAGAAACATTTTTGCTCAATGAAATGGTATGGAACTACTAATTTTGATTTTTGATATGCAACTCCTTTCTCATTGGCAGTAGCACAGAATGCTCTTCAGCATTGTTTCTACTGTGGATCACAAACTTTCGTCGCGTTTGTAGTTTTAAGGAGTTTTGAAATGAATGTCTGTGACACACTTACTATGACTTGGAAGGTAAGCAGTAAAGTCTTTTTTTTTTTCGATGACAGACATCCTTTGGTAGCCAAGATGGTAGGCGTAAAATTGTGGATCCTGCTGTGCTAACCACTAGCTCCCAAGAGTCTTTGTCAATTGTAATATCACTCACCAACAAATGCATCTCTCCCGAGTCACAGAGTCGCCCCTCATTTGAGGATGTCCTCTGGAACCTACAATATGCAGCTCAAGTCCAGGCTACAGCCGATACAGATCAAAGATCTGATGCAACTTCATTGTCATGAGGTATTCAAGAAATTCAACTGCATCTCATCAGCAATACTTGCTCATGCCGCTGTCTCAATTGGGATGCAAGCTGAATGCATGATGTTTGTGAAGCACAAAATGGTTGCAAACCTCAGCCTCGTGTTCAATCTTCTAGTCCTCGTTATCATTTTCTTTTGTATAAAAATGTAAATTTGTCGATTCTTTGGATTTTAGAATTTAGAAGTAGGTGATGTTGCAAAACAGAGACTAGTCTTCACATGAATTTGTATTACCCTCCTTCAGAAAGGATAGAAATGAAAGTGACAGAAGGCTTAGTAGCTGTGCAACCTCAAAAATTGCCCTTCATGCTTATGTATAAGATCATACATGTATATCAACATCAGACTAATAACTGATCTTCATTGCCTTGGTACTTGCATTGATCCAGATATGAGAAAATCAAAGAGACTAGAGTCCCTCCAATTCTTCCTAAACCCTATAACATACTCTTCAACAATGAAATTTGAAGTATTTTTGTAATGAATATAGTAACTTATTATATCCTGTATGTTATTTTCATGTAGGTAAAGTTTACTTTCTATAAAATTGAACAATTGGTAATTGAATTACAACCGAGTTAGACGAGATAGTAAATGCTCTCCACCTTTAACTCTAATGTTGTGGGTACGAGATAGTAAATGCTCTCCACCTCTTAACTCTAATGTTGTGGGTACGAGATAGTAAACGCTCTCCGCTTCTTAACTCTAATGTTGTGGGTTCGAGTCTGAATCATTTATTTGAGTCCCTTTTTGGTATTGAGTGGGTGTGTGCATTTTTTCCTTCTTTTCTCGGACACAGCTCCCTCTCACTGTTCTCTTTATTTATATATAGTTCTGGCTTTAATTTTAGCAGAGCACACTGTCTACAATATATCTTCCTTCCTCACGCCGTGTTTTCTAATAGAATGGCGGCGCTAAGAAAGTTACCGAGTCTAAGCATTTTAAGTTTAGTGGCATTAGTCATCTTAGCAGTGGAACCATACGAATCATTAAGCTCTAGCAGAAAATCTGTTCATTCCGGCTTCAAAACCGATTATAATGGCGTGGGTAGTGGAATGTGCGCCTCTGCCGTCACTGTTCATGGTTATAAATGCCAGGAATTTGAGGTAAATAATCAATCGTTCCATTTTTCTCCTTCTATTTTCCCGATCGAGCTGGTTGAATCCGAAAGCCATATCCTATTCTACAATTCGTACAATTTATGTGTTTCTATTTTCTCAGGTAACAACTGATGACGGATACATACTTAGCGTGCAAAGAATACCAGAAGGCCGTGTAGGAGGAGGTGGTGGGCCGACGACCAACAGGCAGCCAGTGCTGTTGCAGCACGGCGTTCTTGTGGTAAGCATCTCTGGGCTCTAGCTCTAATATGCGCTACTGTTTCACGCGTGACTATAAAAGTTCAGTCCTTTCTCCCCTCAAATTGCGGAAATGGAGAAGAATATTATAATGTGTAGAATCGAATTCTCACCATGAGAAAACCAACGCTACTATGTATAATTTCAATTATAAAATTTAGTCATTTTCGACTGAAAATAAAATTTAATCAACTCAACATCAAGGTGTATTTTAGTAAAAAAAATGAAAATTTAAATAGCTAAATAAAATAATTGATAGTTAATATAAGAAACTTACAAATTACAATAGTTTAATTGTGTTTTAAATCATTAACTCTTAATAATTGCTTAGGTTGCCTCATATCTAGAAGTGGAGAGAGAATTTTAAATTGAACCCATTATATGTTTAATCGTTAGTAGGTCTGATTCATATACACTATTCGTTGCATCCGCCCTCGCTTATGTCTGGAAATAGTCAATGTAATTATACTCCCTTTATTCGGATTTACAAAAATGTTATGAAATTTTTAATACCACAAATTTATTAAAAAAATAAATAGCCATAAATTATAATTTTTTAAAAAATATTTTGTTTTGTGTCTATTCAAATTAAACAAGAGAGTATATACATTCACAAGCCTTCACTAGCGGATGGTGTTTGGGAAATGGAATCTTTCTCGTGAACATGAGTTTATCGTCTTTCGTAGTTATTGTCCCCACTTCTGATCTAAGAAACAGAATTTTTTTTTTCCTACCCCAATTATCCTATGCGTGAATCTTTTAACAAAGTGGGATTTTTTATTTTTTGACTTGAGTGATTTAACATTACACTATGCATTCAGTGTATACTTGCATAAATAACATAAAAGTTGCGGTGTAGTGGATGAGATTATTTCTCTTTTATTGAGAAATTTAGATTCGAGCTCTGAGTACAAAAAAATCGATAGGAAAAGTTTCTCTCGTTCGGAGCCCTACATGGTGCGAATTAATAGGGCTCCAACATGGGTATTAGATATCGATTGAAAAATAAAAAACAAAAACAAATTCATCCTAGCTATGAGCTAGAATGAAAGCATGCTCGAGAGTTCAATATGCTTTTACTTTGGCAAAAAACTACCTAATTACCGAGAGGGTAAGAGTAAGTGTATCTCAATACATACAAATTTATTTGAAAACAATGTCCAGATACATGTACTGGACCAAAATCTGGTACAAAAGGTAATTTTGAAAATTCACGAGAAGGCACGTAATAAGGCCTGGGATTTGTATTGTTTGCCCTTTACTTTGACGCATGTACTTACCTTAAGAAATTGATTAAATATATATATAAAACTCAATTATCATCTTTATAAAATCCAAAACTCAAAAATCCTCCTCTAAAGCCAGTATGCTAAAGGCCTGTAGGAGAAATAAAGGGGCTCAGATGTGGTGAATGCAGCAGTACTTTCCATATCCCGATCTCTTCAGATTGCATAAAATTTTGAAATGCAAGTAGCTTTTGCACGTAGAGAAGTTCAAGATTCCAAATCTTGTCTCACATTACGTATATGTGGCATGATTTAATTAGTCAACCACGGACTCAAGGGTTGGCTGTTTCTGTAGGCTAGTACGCTCACGAGAAGGTAAATTACAAAACACAGATTTGTCATTTGTATGTTTACTCTGTGTACTACTACTGTGAATGCTTGTGAATTTGCACAATTAGAGGCGAATTCAAAATTATGAAGTTTATGTGTTCTTACTTTCTACTACGACTCAAGTTAGTACTACTATAATAATAATTGAATTCACATTCAAATCATGTTAATTAATAGAATTCTCAATATATATAAAGAATTTGACCACAAGCTAGTAACTATGAAGCTTATGAATACTCAACAACTGTTATTCTTGCGTTTAAATCTGTTTGGCACTATATTAACATTTTCGCATAGTTACAAACAAATCAAATTTCACCTTTTCATTTTACCATTAACATGACTTATTTTAAGCCATCACTGCATTCTATACAAATTGTTTGATGCAAGGATACATTCGATATTTTGTTAGATTATGTGTCAAAAATCTTTCTTTCTATGTCTCCAATCAAATTATGTCAAACAATTAAGAAGGGAGAAGTACTACCCACAATAAGTTGACGAACATTTCAATCTTAAGTCACTGCAACTGTGGATGAAGGAAGTAAAATATGGTCACTGTTTTGCAGGATGGAGTAACATGGCTGCAGAATTCACCAGCACAATCACCGGCGATGATCTTGGCAGATAATGGCTTTGATGTTTGGATTTCCAATATCAGGGGAACCAGATATAGCCGTCGCCATGTCACTCTTGATCCTGATAGTGCGGTATCTCCTTCAGTTCCTCAATGAACTATACATTTTTCATAATGCTTGCAAAACTGATAAAAAGAATTCTGGTAAAGGGAAGAAAGATGTCAAAATACTTAAATAGCTCTAAATCTTTAAAGGTTTTATTCATTCTGGTTTACAGGACTACTGGAATTGGACATGGGATGATCTTGTCGTCCATGACTTACCTGCTCTCGTTGATCTTGTCTTTAAACAAACTGGGCAGAAAATTCACTATATAGGCCATTCAATGGTAAGTTTGGAAAGAGAACAGAACATTAGTCTCGATTGTAGGTGGCAAAACATTTATTATCCTTCCAGTACATGATATAATGACCTTTTGATCTGTCTATTTTCTGAACTAACAGGGCACCTTGATAGCGTTGGCGTCCTTTTCAGAAGGGAAACAAATAGACAAGGTAAAATCAGCAGCCTTGCTCAGCCCAGTTGCTTATTTGAGCCATATGACCACTGCACTCGGTGATGTTGCTGCTAGAGCTTTTGTTAGTGAGGTCAGGGCAAAATCTAGGTTCACTTCTCTTCTTTACATTTTGCAAAGCTTAAGAGCAATGCATACATTGTGATTTGTTGATGTTTATGGTTTCCAATGTCAACAGATCACTACAATATTTGGTCTTGCAGAATTTAATCCAAGGGGGTAAAAATTTACTTCTCCTTACTTACAACTAGTGTACTGAATTTGCCCTTCTTGTCCCCCACCCCCCTTCCTTCTTTTGTCACATTTACCTCAATTTTTGACGCTTTGTGGTAGTGAGCCTGTGTCCGATTTTCTCAAGGTCTTATGTGCTCAAGCTGGGGTGGACTGTTATGACTTGATAACTGCACTTACTGGTACTAATCTGCCATGAAATTAAAAACGTTTTCGTCATTTACAGATGGAGTCATTTGTAATGATCACAAGTTCCAAGCTAAATAACTTTCCTCTATGAATATAGGAAAGAACTGCTGTCTAAATGCCTCCACAGTCGATCATTTCTTGAAGAACGAACCCCAGTCTACATCAACTAAGAACCTTGTGCATTTGTCTCAGAGTAAGTCCATTTTTAAGTACTATTTACGAGTCCATCAATCAACTATACCTTAGTCCTAAACAAGTTAGGATTGGCTCCATTATCAACCAACCAAAAATACGAAATGACTATGTAACTGTTTGAAATTCATGCAGCTGTTAGAGATGGTGTCTTGTCGAAATATGACTATGGGAGCAACGACTTCAATCAGGCTCACTACGGTGAAACCAAACCTCCAAGGTACAATCTGACAAATATCCCTCATGATTTCCCCCTGTTTCTCAGCTATGGAGGCCAAGATGCACTGTCTGATGTTCAAGATGTTGGGACATTACTTGATAATCTCAAGTACCACGATGTAGAGAAGCTACATATTCAGTATATCAAGGATTACGCTCATGCAGACTTCATTATTGGGATTACTGCTAAGGATATCGTCTACAACCAGATTATTTCCTTTTTCAGAAACCAAGGATGAACACCTTGTTGGGATTGAAATAAGCTAATATATCGGATTTGGTTTTACAAAACTTAGCAAAATACATTGTATCCGTTCGCATTCAAAAGCTAATCATAATTGAAATCGTGCGAATACAATACTTGATTGTAACGGTATGTGTACCACTGTGTATATATTTTTTTTTCCAAGGAAACCTCGATAGTCCCTTAAGATTGGCATCAATATCTGACAGAAAGGAACAATTTTACTTACGAAAGACCCACCGATCCACTTATTTATCAAAAATAGAAGGCGTCATCGCACAACTTTTGTTGTGTCTCGGAAGAAATTACGCTGCACATGGCTTCCTTTGTCTTCTAACACTCTGTTTGGGTGGTTATAAATTGTTAGTGTTGTTTTCTAATGTATTACCAAAACAAAAAAGTTTTATAATGTATTACTCCCTCTGTCCCAATTTATGTGACACTTTTCGTTTTTCGAGAATCAAACGGTTCAACTTTGACCGGAAATTTGCATATGGAATCTTCAATTTTTTTGAAATGAAATTTACATATTTATAAACTACGTAAAAAGTATTATAAGTTACAATAATTAATAATTGAAAATGTTAAAAGAATCTATGAAAAACTTACTATCAAAAATAGATTTGTATGAATCTCGAACTCCAAAAAGTGCCACACAAAATGAGACGGAGAAAGTGCTTTTTTAATTTAAATTTATACTATATAGTCCAAATTTCAAGAATAAAAGAATTTGATTGTGATTTGTGATGTGAATTTGAATATGATTTATTTTTTTTAGAAATAAAATTCACCGCAAAATAAAGATTGTGATTCTATTGCTCACTGCCTCCTTCCAAGTGATCTGCTGCCCGCTAGTAGTTTATGAATCTGCCATATTTTTCATGATGTTCAGTGTGACAGATTTTGCCTCTGACAAACGTAAGAGTATATTTTTCCTCCATGATTGCTGCAAATCTTTTAGTTTTAGTTGATTTCATTTTCAGTTGCTCTTGCGGCGCAGTAGTTTTCATTCGCGATTCATATATCAAGCTCTTGCTCCAGCTTATATGTCGCATTGAAAGTATGAAAAACGTATATAGTTCGATATCCCCGACTTTAGGCTCTGCGATTCTTCAACATTTATGTTTACCATGAATAACCTAGTTTCTATTACTAATTTTTGTAAGAAATATGCGCTTTAGCTTTGGTAGTGTTATAAGATGAGGAAGATGAAGGGGGGAATGGGTAAAGTTACATAGACCCGAGGATTGAGAATCAGAAATCATTTGAAAAGGTAGGTCCTGCTGTGAGTTTAAGGGAGGAACATAAAGGAAATTGGGGTTATAATTGGATATGCGAACCTCTGTATAAGTGCTATGGATGATAGAGAATAGGGATACTTGCTACATGAGATGATTTTGGTTTGGGGGTTTTGCAGAACAACTCCTAATGTTAGAAGTAGCTGCTATAAGATGATATTGGTTGGTATGGTTCAGAATTTGAACGCCAGAGGAAATTACAGTTCCCTATTTAAGTATCATAAGATGAAAACTTACCAATTTGAAGTGCTTTGTTGCAGTTAGTAGCTCATATATGTGCCAAGGGCAATGTTGTTCGGACTCTTCAAAAATGTCAAGGGGTGCTTGTCGGATTCACCAAAAGTAGTGTATTTTTTAAGAATCCGACACAGGTACAGCATAGAAAGTGAAGAGTCCGCACAATTTAGGACAAGGGATCTGTTTTCCAGTTATCTTTCCATTCAGTATATTGATTATTTTATTTCTTAGTAACTTTCTATTATCTTGTAGGTATCTCCATATAAGGAATTTAAGCACAACTGAGCTTGAGGAATATCAATAGTTTCCTTCAAATTCTTATTCATATTAGCTGTGACCGGGAAAGTTCTGCAGAGGTTCTTTGGAAATCTGGAAGAATTTTATTTCCCTGATTTGGTTGAAGCTTGCCTAAGGTAATTGAAAAGATCCATAAATCATAAAGTATTCCATTTTTTTATAAGGGAATTAGTAAGCATGACTATGAAAAGGTTTTATTGCATTACATTGTTTTTATAATTGTATCTCAAATTTATTTATCTCATCAATATGAATTTTGAAAGCCTTCCTACAAATTTGGATTATGCTATGGAATCATAGGAGAAAACAATGTTATTGCCATGTGTGGAATTGATTTTCTGGCCTTTTATGTTCCCGTAAAATCCTTAAGTGCTACCATTTAGTTCTGTCAAGTTTACTTTAGGTGCTAAAGATGCCTTTTCCCTCAAAATTGAAACTGTATTATCCTTGAGCTTATTATTCATCTAGGATTTTCATCTGCTATAGTGAGGAATGACATTTAGACAAAGCCTGTCTTTAATTTCATCTAATGTTGGATTCATATTTCTAGACTACCTTTGCATCAAAATGAGGAAACTGAGCATTAATAATGCAATTCGGAATGTGCATTCCTTCATAGAGTTTTTCGGTGTAGATGAGAGAAACGAATAAAAGAAATGAGCTTATGCCGTGCCACTGAAGAGAATGGGATGGAGAATTCTTCTTATTACTTCAGTCTATGACACAAAAGGGATGTGTAAAATTGTCTTTTTTCCTTTACTTTTTCTAAGTCAAACACTTGTTCAAAATTTTTCAGCATTTAGATAAGTTCTAATTAAGGACTATAACAGAGGTCCTACCTAATGCTCATCACTAGAATTTCAACAGTTTTCATTTGTTTCTTTTCTCACACTTTTGCTTGGGGAGGAGGGAGGGAGAGAGAGTTGAAGAAGGATCTCCTTTGCAAGCTGTTTTGTACATGTGATCAGTAGCTGTTTTTTGAACAAAGATGGCACTTTACAAGGTCTTACAAAATTCACACAAAACAAAATATTGCTTTGATACGTTTAGCAAAGTGTGATCATCTAAACTCAAACATGAAAAACTTGCTTCTTTTCTGCTGAGTAAATTGATTAGTTTCCTAACTGTTGCTGTCCATAATCACCTTACTGGAAAAAAAAACATGATGCTTTTGGAATCATATTACTGGAAAACAGACATTGAAACACTTCATACGCTAAAAATTCAAATTCATCAATGAGTTAGCTGTAACCATTTAGAGCAGTTAAAACTTCATGTCATGCCTTTGCTTTGATCTTGCCCAATCAAAGTTAATCGTCCAATTTAGGATAGAAGATGCAAAAAAAATAAAATTGAGATAGCTTTACAACTAAAACTCTGCAATAAGAGAGGTAAGATAGCAATGGAACGAAACGGACATAGCAGAGGACCGACATATTGGAAGAGGGATGGGGGAGGCGTCTAGCATGTGAATATTGTCAAGGAAAGTAAAAAAAGGAAAAAAAATTCCTCCAATTTTAAGGGTGTTGATAATCTGTCGAAATTTAAGAAGTTCCCTCCTTTTGTTTTTCTTTTTAAATTCTAATGTCAAGCTTCTTTCATATTGTTCTCATGTATACTTGTCTGTTATTGGGGAGCCATGTGTTGTCTTTTTTGGTACAATAAATAGCTGCTTTGGCTGGGTGCTTCACTTTATAGTCTGCTTCCATGATCCTTTTTCTGTTTCGGAGCATAAGTTTCAAATTGATGGTCAAATCAAAGAAATTAATGTGACTGCATGCAGTATTGAGATTCTGTGCTTAAAAGAGATAGAGGATACAGCACCAAGAAGAAGGAATCTTTCAAGAAGCAGAAGGGAGCTTTTGAATAGTTCATCTTCAAAAAATTGTTTATGGTTCAAGTTCATAACGACTCAGGTAACTTGCAAACTGAGCAATACTAAGGAGTAAGGACAAATCTCTATTCTGGAAAGTTTTCATCAATGGCACAAGATTATATCACATCATTGTCATTCTTGCGTAATTGTGGTCGCTTTATATGAACTATGTTTCTCTGAATTTGTACCAAAATGATGTATATATAAATGATTTCTTATGTGTGTCAAATAATTCATAATAATATTGCTCTCACTCTCTTCAGGTGTCTCTTCCTATAAATTATGTGAAAGAATGGAAACTGCTAAAAGTGAAAGAAAAATAGAGAAGGATAGATCAAAGGAATCTGGAAAAGAATATTTCACAGAAATTGACTGGTATCTGTTTTCTCTGGAGAGATTCAGTGCTTTTTGCCACTTTTTGACTTCACCAGATGAGGGAAGACACTCAAAATGTTGTGAGCTCTCAAGTCTTGCCTGGTTAAGATACCCACCACTGGAGATACCTGAAAAAGGAGCATGGTATGATGTTAGTAATGCTTTTATCACTTCTATTGTAAAATAACACTTCCACCTAGACTCTTCCTTAACAAGCTCTGATGCTACGATATGACTTTTTCTGTGTATCGTTAGACTATGATAGGAGGGAGATATTTGCTTAAGATTAATAACTGAAATTTGCTTATAAGCTCACCCCTGCTGCTTGATATTTGGGTACAATGAGCATGTGGCGGAGTCCCACTTGCCTGAAAAGCACCATTGCCTTCGCCACTGACATGCTTTCTACCACAGTATAGGGGGTTGTGTTGGTCAAGGGATGCAAGTCAACATACATCTCCATTTCACTCTTTGTAACTGCCACATCTTCAATCTTACCCCACCTCTCAGCTAGATCAATCCAGGAGAATTTCTCTCTCACTTCCCACTCCTCTGTCCTCCTTCTTTCATGAAGGAACAACTTTTTCTTGAGAACCAGAAGTAGGTGAGTTCTTAGGACAATACCGTGCAATTCAGTTGCCCCAATTGGCAGCCCCACTGGTGGTACCACCCCTTCATCTACTACAGGGAATCCGTTATGTGTGGTGTTCTTCAGGACCTCCACGATACGTCCCACCTTCTCAATTCCACGAAGTGTAACTACTGGTGGCTTTACATCAGCAAGTTCACCAACAGTGATATTTCTCATCCATGGATCAGGGTTGGCATCCAAGAAAGGTAGACCTTTCAGCTCCAATATTATTTCATAAATACTTAGATTGAAGCAGTCTCCTACACTCTTGGAAATAAGAAGAACAAGCATTGTTATTGGCAGAAGGAGAAGATTGTTTGTTAGCTCAAGAAATATGACGCAAAGAGAAACAGTCATTCTCATTGAACCAGCCATAAGGGAAGCTGCTCCTAGAACGGCATACAACCCTGGATCAATTTTTGTATACGATCCCATGGCAATGGCAAGCAAGCGACCATAAGCTGAACCCATGAGGATGATTGGAAGGAAGAGACCAGATGGCACAGCAATCCCAAAAGTGACGAGTCCCAAGATGCAATACAGTACAAAGTAGATAATAAGAGATGAAACTTGGAATTCACCGGGAGTGTTTATGGAAAAAATATTTCGTACTGCATCATCATTGGTTGTAAGCAGAAGAGTAGCGAGATCATTGTAATAGCCGTTTGGACAGTTGAATTGCTTGAAGTTTCCTGTCCCTCCAGTGCCAGGACAGGACCTTTGAATTGATGGATCACAAGGCTTGCATTTGGCCAAAAAAGGAAGTCCATACATGCCAATGGAGGTGAAAAGGGAGACGCTCAGAGCGAGAAGAAGCTTATGTAGTTTTCCCTTCCTGCAAGATATGAAAAGATCAATGTTTGAAAGTCTGGAATTTGCATCTATAGAGTTCTTTTTTTGGGCAATTAAATGTGATAAGAAGACCATGTTTGAATATAATTCAAACTTAAAAAGATGCAGGGGCAGATGGATCAAAGTGTCAAGATGATTCTAGTCTTAGTAAGTTCATTTTTTGTGGATAAGCATTGCCTTTTAAATCCAGATAACTGAGTGAATGTTTGATGATCTAGTTGGAATGTGGAAGAGTTGATGCTTACTCATTGATGAGATTGTAGAGTCTGAGAACTTTGTGGAGGACATGATTGTAAAGGCTACCCAAAAGTCCACCTATGATTCCAATCAGTGCAATAGGGATGATGTCCACAGGATGGTACGTAACACTGACACCACTCACATCAAACATGATAAGCCCTCCTCTTCCAAAAAGTCCACAGTTGCCAGATTTGCAGTATTCTATGAAGGCCCTCAGTATCACCACCACAACTGCTGTGCTGAAGAAAGTTCTCCAGAGAAGTGCACTTCTCCACCATGTTGCCACTTCCTCTAAAGCAAATAGGACACCACCTACTGGAGAACGGAAAGCAGCACACACACCTGATGATGACCCAGACGTGATGAGATCTCGCCTGTCCCGATCATTGTTGAAGTAACGGAGCCAACGCCATTTGAGTCGGTAATTATCAGGACCACCTTGACCTAGTAAGGAAGCAAAGCAAGCGCCAATGTGAACCAATGGCCCTTCTTTTCCAAGGTCTAAGCTTGCAGAAACTGCTGCTATGCTTCCAATGATCTGTGAGCCAAGAGATTAAAGATTGCTTAGATAAATAAAATTAAAACAAGAAATTGGTAAGTAGCATAATTGACTTTTTAATGAACGCTTTTACAAATCAATCAAAGGGAAAGAAAACATGTCAGATCTCTCAAAATTTAGAATCTTTTAGTATGGAGATTTGTGATGTCCCTACATATTTGCTTTTAAGTATATGTAATTTTCTCAGTTCCATTCATTTTCATGATAGGGAACATTTGTGTTACTCAACAAATAGCAAATTCAATTGAGACATATAAACTTGAGTCTCATGGAAGCTCTTGTATTTTAATGCCACATGAGAAACAAGACAGTGACACTAGTAAAGGATTGAACTACTGGAAGTTTGGAAGTAGATTAGATACCCTGACGGATGTTCCTTGTTGGATGAGTGCATTCGATTCTAGAATTTCCTTTTTATTTTAATTGATCCTATCTGATCAATTAAAGATAGAGATCAAGCTTTCCAAGTAAGATTGAGTTCCATAAATAAGTCGGCTAAATAAAAAGATGTTATTTGCTCTTATTCTTTATATTTATGCATCTAGTTCAGTAGGATCTCAATAGTATGTTGATGGCCTGATAATTTGTCTGCAACCTGAATTGCCAATAACATCATACAGTGTGTACACAGACCTTACCCCTACCTTGGAAGGTAGAGAGGCTGTTTCCGAAAAGACGCTCACAGCCTGAATTGCCAGCAGTGATAAAATTGGGTGTGTGACGCACCTTGACAAAAAGTGTGGTTGCCCCAAACATGTTGGGAGTATCTACCCCGTTGAGATAGGCTTTGATTTCAGGAATTCCAGGCCCTGCAGCAGTAGGCGCGAAGCACACGCAGAGAAGGGCGGCTATCAGAGTGAGCACAAAATTAGCACCCGCAAAATATGCAAATCCCATAAGGTACCTGTAACCATTATTTGTTACAATCTCAATTATGAATTAACCAATAGCTGTATTCAATTCAATTGAGTGATCTTTGATCTTGTTGCTAGTCACTAGCTAGTGGAATGGAATTGAAGCATTAGAACACTTCCCGAATCACAGGGAAAACATCACTAACCTTCTGTTATCTATATAGTCCACTACAGCACGAAGTTTGTAGCCAGCAATATTTTCAATTGCAAGATTGATAAGTGTTGCTGTAACTCCTGTAAGAAGCCCAACCAAAAATGCCAGTGACCATTTCAAGAAGACATACTGTAATACTTGAACTCTGGATCTCCTTCTCCAATCATGCTTGAAGAGATCATTCTCGTTGATCCTAAAACAGACACACTCAATTAGGATATCCAATTCATGTTGGCCCAGGTAATGCATAATTCAAGAAATCTATTATTGATCTATAAGATTAGATTATTAATTGTTCTTACTCATAGTCTAAACTTTCGATATGTGAGACCTTAGCTCCAACCAAGGCAAATGGACTGGATGACAGTGTCCTGTTTCTCTTGAGGAGAGGCTGTCGCATTGAATTGCTCTCTGGATCTCTTTCTTCTTCATTGAGTTGTCCATTGATGTCATTTGTTGTTGCTTCCTGTACTAATCTTGGTTCCTCCATAATAGATAATAAATTGCAAAAACAGCCTCGAGCTCCACTGGTTGGTTCAGAAGAAGAAGATACCAAGTTGTTTTATCCTGTTTTTTGGGGATTCAAAGGCAGGGAAGAGCAAGAATCATATTGGTTGTTTTCACATGTAAGTTTGTCTTCTTCTTGAAGGAATATTGAACATGAGTTGATAAATTATAGGTGCAACTTGGGTGTTTTTAAAATATCAGATAATGGTTACTCCACTTGGAACATGATAGGTATATTGGTAGTATTATGAAGTATTGAAAACATCCGTGAATTTTACGCAAATTATTAGTTTCGTCGCTGAACTATTGACAGATGTATAAATACCCTTATGCTTGACTAACTAAACTTAGATACACTCCTGATCTGCAAGTGGTTTCTAATTCTTGTAGGAGCATGAGACTCTTAATAAAAAGCAAAAAAAAGTGTTATAAACATCTCTAAACTTGGCAAGAATTTAGAGGTATAGTTCACTCATGTTGCAAGATTAGGAATATTTAAGTTTAGTTAATCAAGTTAAAAAAATATTTTTTAAAGATTGTCAATAGTTCAGAGATAAAACTAATAATACTGCTCTCATTATTTAATTTTTAGTAAGAAATAATTGTGGGTGAAAAGTAGTAAAGAGGGAACCTTTTTTTAATTACTGTACATGATCTATGGGACCAAAAAAGGAGACGTAGAATATTGCTAATCCTTGATTACAAACATCCTTCATGGGGCCCTGAACTGGAGTTAGGTAATGTAATGATGTCTGTTCTAAAAATATTACATCACATTGAACACGATCTACTATTTTTTACACTTTTGAGTTATCATCATCTATAAAAAAGTAAAATTACTTTATGTGAATGATGGAGTACGTATTATAGTTAGTTGTCATTATAGTAATATTGGGTGGAAGATCTTTAATAATATATTGATTATTATATGTTTTGATTTGTCATCTTTGCTTGAAAGGTTATCAATATCAGGTTGTCGGGCAGAAGCAGATCATAATCGATTTCAAGTTAATATATAATAAAAGTAATTTTACAATTTAATAGTTAATGAACTTCTTAATATAATTACATGATTTGAAGGCTAGATATGTGCTTTGAACTCGAGCAATTCTCTTAGTATGCTTTACTTTGTCCGTCTCAATTCAGGTAGTACTTTCACTTCTCAAAAATTAATTTAATTAATAAGTTAAATTGTACTAGAATAACAAGTTACGGATGACATGACCCCCACCTAGAGATGAGTGAGAATCCCCCAATTGCTTTGGGGTTGCAATTTGTCTAGCTTGGTGACGAAATCGTCTTTTTTCCACGTATCTCAATATTTTAAAATTACACAATAAGAAATTTAAATTGCAATTATTCTTGTGTTAATACAATGAAAAATATGTTTTATAATATTAGTCACATAGTTTAAGTTTCAAAAAAGCAAAAAAATGTCACATAAATTAACACTGATCCAAATTCTAAATATATTGACTTATTCGAAAAAAGTTTTTTGATTTTGATGTTATCGAAAGTTTATTTCGTGTTTGGTAGTGCAAGAAAGTTGTAAATCTGGATCTGATCTGCATGCTTACGTGAACAGTGGTGGCTTGTCAAGTTCGTATGTCAACTCCCACTAAATAAAAGACTTGGTAGGTACAGTAGTAATTGGATCTGACCTGTATCCATATTAGAGTGCGAATAATTTTGAATTTATATTTCCTTCGTTTAATAATAATTGTCGATTATACTAAAAGTAGTTGTCCAATTTAGAAAATCAAGATATAATTTATCTTTTGCTTCTATTTTATTCTTGCTATTAAATAGTTTATCATCTAACACATTTCTCAAAACATTAAATTTAATAAAGTCAAAGGATAATATAGTAATACACCGCTATTGTTTATTGTTTTTTAAAAAGTGTATCAAGTCAATAGTGGACGACTATTGTTGGACAGAGAGAGTATTAGAAAATCTCACACTTGAATAAAGCACTTTCCAACAAAGACAATTTTATACTCGAGAGATTCAAATTCAAGATTTTTTATTAAGAATAAAAAAGTACTTATTACTTCGCCACACACTTTTTGTCGGTCAGTGGTAACTATTTTCTATATATTGAAATTTACTACTACCATTATGTAAAGCAATATTAATTCATGCCATAATTGTAGCAGTAATAAAATCTCTTTTGTTGTACTGCTTAATGATTAACAAAATAAATAAGTGAGAATTTAGGACCTTTGACAACTCTCAACTGCACCTACATGAGTAATAAAATAAATAATCATAAAAAAGAAGTGGCTGAATTGTGTTCAGCCATGTGGCCTGGACCTTAAGCTGCCAAATTTGACAGAAATGCATCATATTGGGTCCTTCTCTTATATATATAGGCACATTTCATATTATTTATGTAATACAAGATTCATCCAATCCAACGATGGATACTAAATATGACCTTTTAAATACCTGAGGAGTCATATTTTATATTTTTTGTACAAACAAAAAATGGCCTTTCAGATAACCAATAAGTCATTTATTCGAAGCTCAACTGGAATATTCTCACACCAAATTGTAAAAAAAAACAAAAGAGAGGAAAAAAGACAAATTGGTATTGGATACTGTCATAGTATGGAAGAACATGTAGTGTAAATTGTGATTCAATTGAACAAATGATTGGAGTTCGAGAAACATCTACCTATTTAATTTTGTTATACATCCAAGTGGATAAATTTTGGCTATATCTAATCCATAATATATGTACAATACAAAAATAAAATAAATCTATACTATTGCTGAATACATTATTTTAATCTCCTTATCTTTAACTCCTTTCGATCATTATATATTTCGATCATTATATATGCCATTGTAGCAAAAATAACTTTCATCCGACACAAATGTCATCTTAAGAATTTTTTTTATTTTTTTATTTTTTTTAAAGTAAAAATTACCTACTATCAATTCCTGCTAGATATGGAGTAGTATTTGTTTAGAAGTCTTTTAACTCGTAATGTGAAATTTTCAATATGAATTCGAATTAAATCAAGCTCTAGTATAAATACAGAAAACTAAGTAAAAACTCAAAAAAATTATCTATGAATTTTTTTGAATTCTCTCAATGGTCTTTATCCATTTTGAGAAGAAATAAAGAAAATATATAATTAAATAATTGATATGATTATTATAAATGATTTTCGTAATAAATTTATCATAAACATCATTTAAAGATTTAATTAAAGCAGCATCAACATCAAATAACATCACGATACCATTAAAGATTATGGTGGCAGTGACAATTATATCATATTGTGATAGGAGTGATAAATATTTCTCTATTTTTAATTAGACATCCCAAGTTTAAGCTCCATATCATTAAAGATTGTTATGGTAATGATAAATATTTCTTCATTTTTAATCAAACATTTCAAGTATAATCTTTGAATATGAAATCATGATTGCTAACAAAAGTTTGACCTCCCAACTAAAATAATCTTTTTCGATATAATTTTAAATTAGTCAAATTTCAAAATAAATATCATACACGAAATCGAAAAAGAAAAAAATATCACTAGGTCACGGAATGCATGTAGAGACTCGACGTTTGCCAGATAGGTTTATCGGATGAGACTGCACGGGAAGTGTCTCAAACAAAGGCCCTTTTTTTCTCATGATTTGTCCCGCTGGCTATGTCTTTTTTCTTTTCTTTTTTCCCCCTATTTGGTCGGTTAAATGTTCCTAAAAATAAATATAATAAAATTAGTATATAAATGTCCACCTAAAAAGTGATAACTTATTAGGAATTAGTCTTGTCATGTCTTTTCTAAACTAGACAGGGGACCCCGTGCCAGCACGGGCCCAGTATATGTTACTGTTTCTGTTTCAATTTATGTGCTACATATGAAATTTGAAGTTAATCAATTTTTTAGTATGTTTTTATATATTTTAAGTTGCTAATTATTTTTATTTAGAGTATGTTTTACGTAAATATATTATAAATCACAATAATTAACAAGTTAATATAAAAAAAACTTATAAAAAATTCATTGACTTTTGAAATTTCATTTGTATTACATAAATCAGGACAAAACGAGTAATATATATGAAAATTACATAAAACGTACTATAACTCAAAATAATTAGCAACTTAAAATATCTATATATCTATATTTCTCCCAATTTATGCGCTATAGATGAAATTTTGAAAGTTAACAAGAACTTTTTATATGTTTTCAAATATTTTAAGTTATTAATTAAAGTATAAAAGAAAAAAAAATTAAAAAGGAAACATAAATGTCAGCAGGAGTTCAATCTATGTAATTTTTATGTTTTAATTATTGTAATACCGATTGAATTTGGAGAGGCAACTAAATATTTTTAAAGAATTTTTTTTATAAATTTTAAGTTGTTAATTATTATAATTTATAATATTTTTATTAATTTTAAACCAAAATATGTTTTTCTCTGTCTCAATTAAATGAGACATATGGAATTTGGAGAGTCAACTAAAATTTTAAAATATGTTAAGTTGTTAATTATTATACCTTATAGTACTATTACGTGATTTTCAAATAAAATATGTAATTTTTTTATTTCAATTTATATGTCATTGATATAATTACATATATTAAGTAATGAAGAATTAATGTGTAAATTATGTGACACCTATGAATTTTGGAGTGTAAATCAAATTAGTTATATGATTTAAAAAAAATAAAGCGGTTAATTATTACAATTTATAATACTTTTTATATATTTTTTAAATGATATATATATATATCTTTATGATTATTATATTGATATTAGTATTATAATAGATTAAATTTTATTATTTTTAAATTTATGATCTCAATTGTCAGCCTATGCCACATTATAAAATGTTCCAAAGTAGATATCAGATTTACAAAAATGTCGATGCCAGCTAAAGTAATAAAATAACATCTAAGGGAATGAACCTATATATGTATATATAAAGTTGAATATAGACAATTTGATGTGGCATCTCTCTATGACCAGTATTTCTATTCATCTTTTTTCTCCTTTTTTTGACATTTTATCTTTGTTTTGTATTTTTTATTTGTATTTAAAAAAAAATATATTTATGGCATACCCAATTAATTATGCCCTTTATAACATCCATTACACTAATATAGATTTAAGTAAATGAAAATGGAAGATGAAAAGATAAAAACTATTCATTGTTTATAACTGTTTATAATTATTT